GAAAGCAGAGGACTTGGGGAAGATGGTGGTTACAGCTGGTGAAAGCAAAGGACTTGGGGGAGATGAGTGGAAAAGTCAAGAATTTTGATTTTTTTTTTCTATGTTGAAATGTCACAAGAAAATACCCAGAGCAAAGGATTAATGAGTCATCTAGACTCAGGAGCTGACTGGAGGAAAGTTAGCCTCCTCCGCACCTCCGTCACAGTTCATAAGGAGTCAACATTCTCCGTCCTTCGACTTTTTCATGGTGTTGGAAGTAAATTAGTACAGAGGTGCTGCTGGCCGCCTGCCGTTTGACATGATTCCAATGTCAGAATTTCATAAGTGATGTGGGTTTGGGGGTTTCACAAGCCATCATCCAGGGCCATGTACAAACCTAAAACCAAAGCTGATGTAGGAGACTTGCAAACCTAATTAGAAACATGGGGGCGGGAGATGCTTTATTTTCTCCTACATTAAAAGCCTGATACAAATGAGTATGATCACTAATATCCCTTATTCCTGTCAGCATGAACATGTTCCCTGGGCATGCAGCAGTAATAACTGGTCCAAGTTTGGGTGACTTGTAACCAGTGTATTTTCTACTACTTACCTTAGTTATTGCTCAGCATGTTTGGTTTTAATTTTTGAAAGCCCTCATCTGCCCAGTTAAAAGTGGGTTTCCTGTAGTGACATCTTAAGGTGGTAAAACACAAGTCCATCCCTTATATACTTTCAGGAAGTGATTTACAAGTACACTGGCGAGAAGAGCTTTTGAGAATTCCAGACTCTAAGAAGGTGGCATGCACTAGGTAAACAAAAACGCTCCTCTCAGGATGAAATAGAAACACAGGCTGTATGGGTGGCACTCAAGATTCGAGAGGACTTCCTGAGAAGCTGCTGATCTGTTGGTCATCCTGACACAGTACAGGCAGGAAGCTGGCGTACTAGATGTCCAGCAGCCACTCAGGGAAAAGGGTGAGTATACAGATTGCTGTTGTAGAATCCAAGTACATGCCCTACATCTGGGCATGGTGGTGCACATCTGGGCATGCTGGTGCACATCTGGGCATGGTGGTGCACGCCTATGATCCCAGTACTCAGGAGGTGGAGCATCAGGAGGCCAGGGTCATCCCCAGGTATGTAGCAAATCTAAGACCAACCCAGCATTATGTGAAATCTTGTTTCAAAACAGCAAAAACAGAAACAGGCCCAATTAGAATGCAGAAGACAGACACCAGAGGGACCAAGGTACTACAAACTCCTGAAACAGAACCTGGCAAGCATGTCTAATTGAGAAATTAAAGCCACAGAGACGTTAAACTCCCCTAAATCATGATTTCCTAGCTCCCCTCCCCCCAACCCCCACCTGCTCTTAGCTGGGCTTAACACTGAGCATATTCCCTTGTAGAAAGTCCAGTGCAAACACTGGCACAAGAGCGGGTGCTTGCTTTCTTCTTGCTCTATAATAGAAGCAACATCTCTGCTTTTTTTTATAATTCAACATATATAAGCCGTGTGTAATAATCAAGAGTAGCAGGCATTTCTGTCTCTTCAACCATT